TCAATTGGCGTCGGCAATATGGACCATTTTCAGAAAAACCTCAAGAAATAATAGACCTATTCTCCACCATTATTCAGACACATAACCACACGTGGGATGATATGCAACAACTTATTTCTACTTTACTGGATATGGAAGGGAGAGAACAATATAGGTTAGGGAAATTAAAAGTACTTGCCCGCTGACATTCCAATGGGGGAGCGAATTATCAGGCAAGCAGAGATGCCGAAGCAGTAGAAGAAAGACCAGACTGGAATGCTAATGATGGACAACATCAAACTTTGTTGCAGAATTATTGGCTTTTGTGTTTAGAAGCCCTGAAAGAAGCCGCAATTCATCCAGTTAATTATGCTGCAGTAATTAGTATTTGGCAAGATAAAAATGAGTCACCAACCGCTTTTCTCAGCTGACTGATAGAAGCTTATAAAGTAAACACAGGTTTTAATATGGAAGTGGCACAAAATTGCCCACTCCTAATTGAAAGATTTATCACCCAAAGTGCCCCAGACATAAAGAAAAAGTTACAACGCACAGAAGGGGCATTAGGGAAGAATATAGCAGAGATCATGGAAATAGCTCAGAAAGTGTTCAGTAACTGTGAAAAGAAAGAAGAATGTAAGTCAGATCAGAAAGAAAAAAAGAAGGTTGAAATGTTAGCAGTGGCCTTGGGGGGAAATGAATATTGGACCCAACCAATGTGCCATCTGTAAACAGGAAGGACACTGGCAAAGGGAGTGCCCCCAGAGGAATGGCCAATCTAAGGGACAATCTCGCAGTATGGAAGAGGACGAGGAAGAGGATTTAGAGAGACTTTCCAAGGAAGTTGTAGGGGAAGCTTCAGGGGAAGAGGGCGTCCAGCCTATCCTAGTCAAATGGAAGAAAGAGAAGAAAACATGTTCGGCTTAGCCAACATGGAATGGGGAGACTGAAGAGGACCGGGTTCTATGGTCCCACCCCCAGAGCCCATTGTTAAAATACGGGTGGGAGGACAGATTGTCCCAATGTTAGTTGACACGGGAGCCACCAGATTGGTTCTAAATAAATCTATTGGCAAGCCATCAAACCAGACCATCCAAATTCAGGGAGTATCTGGAGAAACTCAATTTCGACCACTCCTGGAACCCCTAACGTGCCAAGTGGGACAAGGAATCATTAAACATCAATTTTTATATGTCCCAGACTGTCCAGTCCCATTATTGGGAAGAGACTTGATAATTAAGTTAAAAGCAACTATTTCCTTCGACAATGGGAAGCAATTAATTCAAGTGTGCCACCCAGTGGAAGAAATATGGCGCTTGATGATAGTGACAGAAGAAGAAGTAGAAAGTACTAAGTAGCAACAATTTAATGTCCCACTCCTGTGGGCAGATGATAACCCCCCTGGATTTGTGAAATATGCCATGTGGAACTAAAACCACAAGCATATCCTGTTAGAGTGCCTCAATGATATTGTACTTCAGAGGCTACTATTGCCATTCAAGAATTAATCCAAAAATACTTGATAGCAAAAATCATTAGAAAAATTCAGTCACCCTGGAATACTGCAATTCTACCTGTTTGTAAGCCCGATGGACAGTGGAGACCAGTGCAGGATCTCCACCCCATTAATAAATTCACCATAACCTTACACATGACTGTTCCTAATCCATATATTCTTTTGAGTACAATACCTGCATCCGCTAAATGGTTTTCAGTTGTGGACTTAAAGGATGCGTTTTTCACCATACCTTCAGCTGAGAATTGTCAGCCGATCTTTGCATTTGAATGGGCTAATCCAAAGACACAAGTTAAGACTCAATATACCTGGTTTAAGAATTCACCTACGTGTTTTGGTCAAGCTTTAGCCCAAGATCTTGCATATTTGAAGTTAGTCAGACAAGAGGACTGTTGCCTTCAATATATGGATGATGTTCTGATAACTGGACAAAACAGGGAGGATTGCTTTGAAAACACATCCAGACTGCTCCGAATGTTACAAGACTGTAGCTACAGAGTGTCCAAAAGGAAAGCACAATTAGTTCAAATGACTGTAATGTAGTTAGGCTATGAACTTTCACAAGGACAAAGAACTCTGGGCCCCCAGAGAAAGTAAGCTGTGTTACAAATTCCCATCCCCCAAACAAAACAGGAAGTTAGAGCCTTTTTGGGAATTACAGGCTTCTGTAGAATTTGGATTCCTAACTTTGCTCTCACAGCTAAACCATTGAACCAAGTTTTAAGAGGACCAGAAAATGAACCTCTTTTGTGGCAACAAGAGCAGACCCAAGCAATGAAACACCTTCAACAAGCCCTTACTACAGCGCCGGCTCTAGGACTACCTGATATATCTAGGTCGTTTTCACTTTATGTCGATGTGAGACAGAATGTGGCTTTAGTCCTTACCCAAAAGCAGGGAAATTGGAATCGCCCAGTCGCTTATCTGTCAAAACAATTAGATATGGCTGCGTAAGGATGGCCACAATGTTTAAAAATTCTAGCAGCAGTTATGCTGTTACTACAGGAGGCAAATAAGTTAATCTTTTCTGCTCTGGTGCCTGTTTGTACTAGTCATGCCCTGCAGACAATTATTGACAATAAGGAACATTTATGGATTAGCAATCAAAGGATGTATAAGATACAGGCCCTTTTATTAGAACATCCACAAGTTACACTGCAACAGTGCTCTACTCTCAATCCGACCACTCTCATGCCAATACCAGATTCAACTATGCCCGTGCATAACTGCATGCAAACAATAGAACTACAATATTCTTGCAGATCTGACCTTACGGACCAACCATTGCATAATCCAGACTTTCAGTGCTTTACCGATGGATCCAGCTTTATGGATCAAGGAATTAGATACTCTGGTTATGCAATTGTTTCTCAAACTGCAACTGTAGAATCAGCACAATTACCTAGCCAAGCAAGTGCACAATTTGCAGAATTATATGTCCTAATCCGAGCATTAGAAATAGCTACAGGAATGATTTTAAATGTATATACGGACATTAAGTATGCATTTTTTACAATTCATGCACATGCGGCAATCTACAAAGAAAGAGGATATTTGGACTCCACAGGCAAGATCATCCAATATGCAACTTTGATTAAAAGACTTATTAAGGTGGCTCAATTATCGTCTAAAGTTGCAATCATCCATTGTCCTGGACATCAAAAAGACTCAAGCCTTATTACCCAGGGCAATAGGAAGGCAGACAAAGAAGCCAAAAGAGCTGCATTAGAAGGCCCCCCTCCAGTCAAATGTCACCAGGTTCATGTATTTGGGCACTTACTTAGAACAACTTGATCCTACATATACGAAAGAGGAAAGCCAAAAGTTGAAGCAGGATGTACAAGCTGAACTGGTTAAAGGCTGGTACACCCTTCCCGATGGACACATTGCTGTTCCTCTTGTGCTTGCCTGCCCCCTTATTTTTCAGGCCCATAAGCAACATCATTTGGGAAAAACTGCATTATTACAGTAGCTTGAATGATTTTTCTATCTTCCCTTTGCTTCTTCGCTAACGGCACAAGTATGTTCTCAATGTTCCATTTGTGCCCAGACCAATGCACGCCAAGGATCGGTAGTACTGCCTGGTCGACAACCAATTGCTTATTTTCCAATGGACTATGTCGTTGTTGATTTTACTGATATGCCTAGGAGTAAGAAATATGCAGCCCTGTTAGTTATAATCGATACCTATTCAGGATGCATTGAGGCCTTTCCGACTGTAAATAAGAAAGCTATACAGGTTGCCAGAATCTTTCTTAAAGAAATTATTCCTAGATTTGGTTGCCCTTCTAGGATTTCATCAGATAATGGTCCTGAGTTTGTACGCCAAATTAATAAGGTTTTAGACCAGGCATTAGGAATTAAGTGGAGATTTCATTGTGCTTTTCACCCCCAATCGGCTGTAGGGTGGAATGTACTCATTGCACGATTAAAACTCTTATTACCAAATTTTGTTTGGAAACTCATCTCCATTAGCCAGACGTTTTGCCTATGGTTTTGTATGCAATCAGACTGATCCCCCGCACTAAATTACAACTTAGCCCTTATGAGCTCATGTTTGGCCATCCCCCTTGTCTATTTAAACCTGACAGTCAGGACTGGCCGGGCTTGGCTCATAAGGGGGGAATAGACCAACAGAAATTGTTACATCAGTTACAGCTTCATAATTTAGCTGTTTCAAATTTGCGCCATTATAAGATGGAACAACAACCCCTCCAGTGGTCACGGCAACACATGGGTTCAAACCAGGAGCTAGAGTATGGATAAAACACTGGAAATCAGATCCCTTGAGCCCAAGATGGAAAGGACCATATACTGTTGTCATGTGTTCTCCTTTGACAGTGAAAACCTTGGAGGGAATGTCCTGGGTCCACTGGAGTAAATTGAAAGCAGCTGCACCTGCCAATCCAGTAACTTACAAGGTGGGTAAAACTGACAAACCTTTAGTGTTAAAATTTACAAGAAATACACCCTGTCGAACCCTACCGGCAATGGGTTCTCAACACACGGTGTGAACATCAGACCTTGCTGAGACACTCCGGACGGTGTCTCTACGCACAGTGGAAGACATGAGGATTCTACAGCTCATAATATTTGTTAGTTATTTAATATGGGAATATAAAATGTTGCCCTCTAAAGATCCTGAATTGGAGATAGAATGATGGAAATTTAAGTAGGAAAACTTCCAAAGGGGGGAATAATGTGGAATAATGAACAATCACTAGAATAATGATGTGTCTGCATAATTACTAGAATAGTGCTGTGTTAGAAGTATGTGACTAACCTAATGCGCATTGCACTTGGATACAATGTATGTAGCAAATTCTCCATTGTATACCCATGAGAAATGAACCTAATGTATTACAATGTGTATTTCAATGTGTATTCCTTTGTTCCTGAGAAAAGGAAAGTATAAAACTGAAGTCTGAACCCGCCCTCGGGGTTCAGAATTGCTTGTTGCTATTGCTTCTGAATCTGCGCAATAAATCTCTCTGCTAAAACCCTCTGGAATTCGTAAGAGTCCTTTCATTTTCCACAAGAACATAATGTACAATTTATATGTGCACATGTTTGAAATATGTGCACAAATATAAACATACTAGCTTTGATCCTAGGCTTTGATCCTATTAGGAAAACAGTATGATACAAAGTTTATCCTGCCATACTCCGGTGCAATTCAGAAGATCTTTTTAGGCCTTTTGCAGCTAGGAATCAGCATCTTTTTGTAGGAAGAATAGATGAAACTTTAATTTCACTTCCATTGCTCAGTGTAGTCGTAATATTCTAGAAGGAGAAAATTGCATAGATTATCTTGACAGAATTTCTAGCAAAGGAAAGGTGCTTAAACTGCCACTGGCCGCACACTTCTCTTTGTTTTCCTCCTGTCCCTCATCTCCTTTTCTTAGAGAGAAAATAGTTCTTTCATATCTATAAAATGACTTTTAAATAAATTCAAATATTATTTAGTCAATGTTGGCAATGCAACACCATGAGCATGAGAGAATTTACAACACTTAGATGCAACTCAGATCTCCCCCATAATAAAATAATAATAAAAACCTTGTTGAATGATAAATGGTTAAATCATGTAAGATTGCTAAATGTCATAAAATCTCTTTTACTCACAATCTTGCAAGATTTCATAGGAAATTATAGAATCTGGTGAAATTGGGCCTTTTTAAATTGCTTATGCTTTTAAAAATAATGATCTTTTTAAAAAAATAGTTACAGTCCTGTGACTGTAAAATTGTAATCTGCCTAAAACATCACCAACGGGTGAACAGCACAGAACAGTTTCCTCTGATTAGGCTTGGTTTGACTTTCCTAGTTTACATCCATCTAGATCAATCTAGCTACATCTTAAAGCTGCCAAGTTAAGACTTTGTAGTAAATGGTCAAACTATCATTAAGCCAGTACTGAAATTACCAGGGCAAATAGACCCTACAACTCTGCCTGCATCAGAAAGTTATGATAGGAATAATGGGCGTATTATTGAAATGGATCTGTGGTCCATCCACTGCATCCTTACCTGAAGCTGGTAAGATATCGGCTGTGACAGTTCCAGTGGCACTTGGTGGTGGGGGTGGGGGTACCGCTTGACTAAACAGAGATAAATTAAAATGGGATATTTAATTACAGCGGGCAAGATAGTGGGAAATATCCATGGCTAATTCTCAATACCCAGGGGAACTATCTTACACTGATAGTTCTGTAATATTCAAGGTCTTTTCCCTTTTTGGTTAAAGCAAGTTTCTTCCCTTTTATTAAATTAGCAGAAATTTCATCTGACCTTGTCTTTGAAATGCCTAATAAAATACTAGGAACCAAATGAAGCTTCTAATATTGCTGAATTTTTAATTCTCTGTAAATATCATTGTTTTTCAAGATTTGAAGTAATTGAATAAATTCTACAAGAATAAGCAATGGTAAATATCTGGGATATTTACACATTTAGCAAACATTTATATGCAGAATTTGGGAGTACAGATAATAAAGAATAATAGCAATGCCACAGACAGGATATTAGTGGTGGTGACTAAACAATGCAAGTATGCTTCACTTGGCTTATCATAATTTAGAGAAGGTCCCAAATCCAGGTGTATCCTACCTTCCATAATTTTGTGATGAATATTACTGTTTTATCACTCATCTTAGCCTTCCATATTTTATATGTAACATTTGGATGAATTATTGTAATATGTATTGGAATACTGAAATGAAACACTTCAATTGTTTATAATCTTTTTCCCATCTGCACAGTTCTGCTCACCCATCATCTTGTCTCCTTGTTGACTGATGATCTGGGCCCACATGGCGAATGATGGGCTGCTGTGGTGTCAAAATTGAGGGTTGAGATGGAGGCTTCCATGTTCTGAATGGAAGGATGAATGGATAGGGTGCATAATGGTGGTGGAATACCATGTCCATCTCATCTTCATCCTCTGTCTGCCAGGGAATAAGGGGTATCTGCTAGAAAAAAAGATTAGGACACTTAAGACAATGGTTCTTATCTCAAGGATCATAAACCCAAAATGGTTTTACCTGTGGTTGCACTGGTATAGTCCTGTTAATAAATTGTATTTCCTGTTGCAACAGCATGAGATGAGCAATAAATTGAAGTGAATTGACTAAAAGAATCCCAGTTTACCTTTAAAGAATAGTAAAGACCTATTTTGCCTTGATAAGCTAGGAATCTAGTATCTCCAAGAGTCTTTCTCTAGCCACCTTCTCCAGCCCCTTCCAATTGTCAGCATTATTCCTTTCTCCTTTCTATAACCTCACAGTGGCTTTGACTTAGAAAACTGTTTATACTCAAATTATTAATATTGCTGTTGTGACCGGTTTAGGCAGAACATCTGGCTACAGTATGTAAAAGAGATATTGAAAGGGTGAGTAGTGAAAATAATAATTCATTGCGCATAATAATTATAATTAGAAGTCATGAAGTTAGTCCCAAAATATATTCTGGATCCCAACAGAAAAAGTTAAAAACTTCTGAAAACTGACTTGGTGCATCACATTCCTTTATTTCTCCTGGCGGAGATATGTAGCTGTCAAATCAGGGCTTTGAAGCTATCAGCTCTTGAAGGTAGACCTTGAATTTATGAGTACTACAATCACTTTTATTATAAGTTACAATAACAGAATCTTGCAATCTAAATGTGTTTCTTTTCTCTCTGTTTTTTATCCTAACAGAACTATGGATGGTCATATCTGAATTTTTTTTTTCAAATTCTATTTCTGTGTTGGACTCAGATTTCTCTTATCTAACTATTGCCTTGGCTGTATCTCTTCCTCCTGTTTCTCAAGGTTATTCTTTCATCCAATTACATATGTAGAATCATTCAGTATTTTATGGACGTCATATAATTTCAGATGATGTGTCATTGCTGTTCCTGCTCATATTCATTAATAGTTTCATTTCACATGCTAGGCAGCCAGTTAATTTCAGAACAACAAAATCGTTATGTATCAGAGATATCTCTTTGTAATAAAATTAGGCACATTCAATCTCACAAGAGGTTAGATTTAAGAATGGAACCTATAATGTTGTCACTGAAAAATGGCAATCTATTCCATGATTGTCTTCTGGAATGTATGATGTGACATCAAGGCACATGTTTTTCTGCTCTCCTGCCCTTCAGTTGAAGCCAGTAGAAGGCAAGACAGTTGGCACAGAAATGCCTTTCTTTCCTAAATCAACTCCTCTGTCATATGTAGATCTACCCTAGATCAGCAATCTACCTACCTGGCTTGGATTGGATTCAAAGCATGCTGCTGCTGACATAGCCAGGTTGCTCATTATCACTTGATGCATCTGGGCATTTTGTATCATCATTAGCTCTATTAAATCTTCCAGAAATTAAGAACACAATCAATATGCATTGATTTATTTGTACATATGCACAAACAGAAATATGTAACACGAAAGGAGGAATTACAGAACCATAAGAACAAAGGTATACAACCTGAATTTATAGCATTACACACAAGCTCTCAGTATTTCAGTATTTTCACAAGTCCCACAAGCTTTCAGTATTTCCAGATTCCAATGTGCATGAGAGAAAGTAAAACTTTCTAAATACTTGACTGCAGAATAAACATATTAACTATATTTAGTTTTAATTAAATGCAAGTGAAATGAGATTAAAATTAGTTTTAGCACTGCACTTCCATATGTTCAAAGACCAAATTTGATTTTCAGCATAGGAGAAGCTATGCACTCTTGCTATAGAGCTTAATGTTTAAAAATCACGGCACTTTTAATCCATTAAATTTAATTTGAATAAATTAAAAAAGGAAACTACAAAGCGAAAATGTAGCATAAAAAGAAGAAAATGACAAGCCTTAGAATATAATAAACGATTGCATTATCTGACAAACACAGATTAAAATTGAAACATTCTCAAATCTCAGTCCATGTTTCCAATCTTTTAATACATCTGTTCTCAAAATAGTTACACATCTAATCCAGACCACAACTAAGAACAAGAAGAGTGGCTGTTACTAGACACATGGCACAAGATTCATAAAGCTGTTTCAGATTATTTTCAAGAGTTATAAAATAGCCACTTATTCCAAGAAATAACATTTTTGCCATTGGATTATGCATTGCTACTCCAGATAATCATGCAGCAATTAAATGCTTTAATATATCATTGGAATCAGTTTTGAGACAGTGACTGATCTCTACTGACCAATATTTGTAGCATGCTAGTGAATTATGCATTTCAAATGTGATAGAGATGTATGTCCCATGGAATTACATGTCTTACACATATTTTGTTGCGATTTCTGGTCTTTCTCTTTTTGTTTGTAATAACTGATATTAACAATACTCCATTTTATAATTTTAAAAAATATCCACATTATAATAGAGTGGCATAACTAGAAAGCTATTGCTGCAAGTTATCTTGCAAAAGTCAAAGCAGGCTTGTAAATTCCTACATCAGTTGAAGACTCAAGAGAGATTGGCATCATTTTATAGGTTAAGAAAAATATTTAGATCATGTGTGGAGCTACATGCTTCATTATAAATCAGATTTTTAAAAAACCATTATTAGAATATATTAATATATTGTTATAATAGATTAAAAGAGACTCAAAAATAATTTAAGCTTTAAAATATTCTGAATTTATTCATTTTCAGATAACAGTATGGGGTGGGGTGGAATTTTTCGGATTAGTAACACATAGATATGTTCCAACATAATCAGCTGTTTCTTTTAGGATCTCCTCCTTCCATCAATCTCAGTTCTCTAGCAAATTGGTAGACTTGATTTCTTACTTTCTCTGAAGTGGCTTGTGCAGCTGGACTGAGGAAATGTCGGTGGCATCTGTTGGAGAATGGTCACTTCTGGCTCTTGAGGAATCTGAGAAACAATGGAAGGAAATTCAGAGAAGAGCAGGCTGTCTTGGGGGCCTGACTCTTACCATTTTTTCCTGGATAAGGTTCTGTTATTATTGTTGTTTTATACAAAAGTTATACATCTGATTGAGCTAGATTGGACTTAAGCTAAATGCACACCTAGGCATCCCTGGCTTCTTTTTTCCCAGTGGTATAATTTAGAATGGATGGGATCCAAGTTCTTCTGATGGTTAAACAACTGCAAACAGAAATGCTGGCCTATATACTGTGGATTTCCCAGGAATCTTTTGGTAGATTAGAGTGGACCTCTTTTGCACCAGGATGACTTTTCAGGCTCATTCTCTACAATAATGCTGTCACACCTTTCACCATCTCTTTAAAGTGAAGCTTTATTCAGATTTTCAATCATGGGCAAAACTGTAAACGCTGGGTGATTTAAGGATTGCATAAAGGGTCCACTTCCTATAAGCCTCTAAGACTAGATTTTCTCAAAGATTCCCAGAATAACCTGCTCTAATGCCTACTGATGCCATCCCTTGCCGCCCCTGTCTTTCAAGCCAGCATGGGACAAATACATCAAAATCAGAACACCAGTTTACGTTACATATTGATTTAAAGAACATCTGAACAACATACTGCATAAGCAGATTGACTAATTAAATCAATTAATTAAAATGATAATTAGTAAAAATTAACATTACAAAAGTTTAGTAAAAATTAAAACTGAAACTACAAATGAGTAAATAATGTTTGTATCACCAAATCCCTCCTCTAAACTGACTCTTTTATCTAGCACTGCCCTTTTTCTGATCTTTAGTTATTCAGCTGGTTCCCTCTGCTCAAAATACCTTCTTGAATTTGAGCCAGAGACTCCACATTTTTGCTCTTATTTCTAAGTTGAATCACAGAATTCCTGCTGCATTGCAGAAACCCACTCAGTTGAACAATTTGGCAGAAGTCTCCTCCTATTGCACCACACAACTTCCTCTGCGATGTACAGCTTTCAGGAGGAAATTGCATACTTTAGTTAGCAGAAGGGAGGCTCCTGCTGTATCACACAATCCACAGCATGCCTGTCAAGCTATCTTTAAACATGATGTACTGCTCTTTCACTTCACCAAGAAGCTGATGAAAAATAGTGTTGCACCATAAAGTATGATTCCCTCTCCTGTAGCATTATAAAACCCCTTTCCTGTGCTTGTCAGCAGTTGGATTAGCTATTTTTAAACACAATTTTAGTGATTTAGACAAAGAACACTTAGCCCATGTTTTAAAATAACTCATCTAGCAGCTGACAGGTTGGTAGAAGTGCTCCCAGGGTTGCACTGCACTGCACAGCCTTTCCCTTCATCCCCATCATTTATTCATTATGATAATTCCTCTTTCCAAGACTGGAAGACCTAATGAGTTCAACGGGAGAATTTCATTTGGAATAACTACTACAGACTCTCCTTTGCTCACAGCAGAAGGGCTCTGGAGAATGTGGAAGTGCCCAAGGAAAAGAAAGATTGAGGCAGGCCTGAACCATCCCAAAATGGCCACTGGGTGCTGATACAGCCCCAGTCCTGGGAGATACTAATTGAATGATTAGTGAGAAATGTCCAAATATATTTACAATTAAAGAAATGTATCAGGAATTTACCTCAACATTAATACAGCTAAGAACAACTTGAAGGCATCTCAGCATATATGGACCACTAATCAGATGAAGGCAATGCCAACATAATTTGACAGAAAAAAAGAAGTCATGTTTCTTCATGAGTAGATGAAGAGGGGTGGATTTCAGATGCCTCTCAGGATTGCTGCCCAGGTGAAGATGTTAAACAAAGCTATTGTTGGATAAAAAAATCTCTAAGGGCAATTGGGCATGGCACAACTATTTGTCATCTATGTTCTGTGGGCATAGATTTACACAAAGTTTTTCTGTGCTCATTTTCAGTTGCCAGAAAGGTGATTATGTTGGTTTTTCACTGTCAGTGCAAAAGAGGTCTATATGATTTAATTCACTTATTATCATCTAAGCTTTAGTATATCTCTGTCTACTTCATCAGCTTAATTAAGGCAGGGATATTATACCTAACTCCTCCAGCATCGACAGCTGCATTATATAACACTGTTCTCTCTGACTATATTCCCTGCCTCTGATAAAGTGGATCCAGAGATGTAAATTTTATGCAGTCATAAATATGCTAGATTTTTAGGTGACACAAGAATTCTTGTTATATTTCCATTTTCTGTTCTTCATTTGGGACTCAGGAGGGGTGTTACAATTAGTTATAGCATATAAAATATATTGCCTCTTCCATTGCAGTATTGTCTAACCCACACACTTGGTAACCACCCAGAACTTTTCTTGGTTGGAACTGAATCAAAAAGACGTGCAGGATTACAAAGATTCTTCTCTCTGCTGCCAGAATGAGATACCTTTCAATATTCCCACCCACTGCAGTGACTTACTGGTTGCTGAATGAGGTACACTTGTGGGGAGACAGTACTGTTGCCCCCTGGATCCATGGCAAGGCCTCACTGTTCAGTAGAAAATACCAGCAGGAAGAAAGTTGTCAGACTGGTTGCTAAGGGAGCTGTGTTTAAACATACCTAGCCTCCCCTTCCTGTAGGTGTTTTTCCTCCTTCAGTTTATAATTAACTTATCACGAGCATTGAGTTTAACCAGCAAATACTGTAATCTAATAATCACAGTAGTCTCCCAACAGTTAACTCTGAGTCTCAATAATAATTCTAAGTCACTTGATTTTATTTTTAGATTTTTGCCATTCCAGTATACAAACGGATTGGGAGGGTATTTTTTCCAGACAGACATTGACCTGTTCACCATATGAAAACAAGGTTGTTGTCTGACAAATTAATATTTGTTAAAGAAAGGGGCTGATAGAAGAAATAAAAGAAGTTACCTACCAATTGTCTGAGAGCAGCTTGATTACCCTCAGCTAGATTTTGACTGGTCCCAGTTGGGGTCCCTGTTGGAATAGCCTGGGTATACCACCCAAACATCTAAATTGCCTTCCTTTATAAAACTGCTTCTTATAAAGTTTCTTATAAGTTTTTATAAAACTTCTGGCTAAGTTCATAAAACATGCTCAAAATAGTTACTGAACTGACCCATTGTTGCCTAGATTTACACAATTCATTAAATTACAGACTGAATTAACTGGCTAGGTTGATACAGCACAGAAATGAAGAGGGAGAAAGGAGGAGGAGGAAGAGGAGGAGGAGGGAGAGCTGCTACTAACCAGGAAAACATGTCCTGTGAAGGCAGTCCCCAAGACGTAGTTGGGAGAACATAGCCCTTGTGTGCACATAGCCCTTGTGCAGCTGCTTCTCATCCTGAGAATGGGTAAACAAATGGCATGTGGTGTGAGTGTTCCGGATTTTGATCTACCAGCCTTGTATTGATTTGTATGAAGAAAGGCCCATAAAGTAGAGCCTCACATTTCCTGAAAAACTCCTGCTCCACAAACCTATTGAGCATAAATTATGAGCCCTCCTCCCAATGTTGAATTGTTTAATGAGGTCTGATGTCATCACTTCTTCTATTGAGGCTTTGTCCTAAAAAGATTAAATGCAAACTTTTCCAATCAAATAAGGTAAGGCAGTATACATTTTAGCAAAATGAAAATCAGATCAAAATAATCTGTCCTTTTATAATCGTACAGTGTTTCCCCTAATTAGCCAGAGGTTTTCGAGGACCTGAAAACATTCTGCAGTGTCAGCTGGTAGTTACTACATTGCTACAGGTTGGGGAATATTGCTAATTAGCTGAAAAAAAAAAAAAGCTTATGCAGAATGAGGAGGTAAGTGAACTAGACTATCAGTATTCTACCCAGGGGGAATACTGTACATGCCTGGGGGCTTCTTGCACAAGAGTCATAGAACTGGGAGGCTACATAATGTTATTGCATAAATTCAATTACATCATAATTTCTGCTTTTATGACTTGTTCATTGGGAGATTTTTGTCCCTTTCACATTACTAACTTGTGAATCTATTCTTTGCTTCAAAAAGACCATATTTCTCCCATCTCACTTTACAGAAATGTAGCTGAGAAAGATTTTCTGAGTTTTGCTTTGTTTCTTCTGTTCTAAATTAACCTGCCTCCTAATAAAGCTATTCTTCTCACTAGGGAAAAGATGACTATGTGATTAAATGAATTGAAGGATAGGCAAGCACATGAATAGACCTACAGTCTTATACTCCATGGAGAAAAAAATCTCAACTTGGAAGAGTGGAAAGATTTACAGGCAAAATAAATTTAGAAGCAAAATCTGCAATTTGTTCTCTTGTTCAAAAGAGAAATAATTAAAGTTATGCAGGATAATTTTGTTTTCAATTTGGGGAGCTCCATAGGGGAAGAGCTAAGGCATGTACATCCTTTTCCAACTAACCTGCTGGTCATGGGATAATCTATGCTGAAAATATGAAGGATGTGGGTCACATATCAAATGTATTAGTTGATGGTGGCAAGAGTTTATAGGTTTCTAAGGAATTTCTAGGTTAGGGATCCTAATTTGTATGTAGAATAGCAGGAATATTCTTGGGAATAACTGGGTTTAGGCTGTACCTTGCGCATACTATTAACAAAATATGTCCCAATTCACCGGCATTATCTTCACTATTATCAGGGAATGCTTCCTGTGTCATGTTTTTAGGCTGTGTCATGACTCAATCTAATCTAAAGTATGCTACTTGAAAATAATGATAGATCAAAGTCATGATGAATAGCAAAGTTGGTATCTATGGGCTTATCTGTTGGCAAAACTGGCATGTGGAAGATTGTAATGTGGAATGTAAAAGAAGTAAACAGTAAAGAGTGTGCAAATCTATAAAACAAAGAGAATCGGAAAAGATGTAATTGGTTTGAAGACAGGTGGCCCGATAATATGGACTGGAATTGATTAATACACATAGGGAAGGTAGAGATTTAATTAAGAGTGAAGAGACTGACATTCAAGTCAGAAAGCATAAACTGACATCTTTTAAATTGTTGTGGGTGCAAAATTAAAAAAGAATGTATAAGTTGTTGATAATTTGCATATTGCAGTATATTCCCTAGAGTGGTGCTAATGGAAGAACTAAAGATGAGTTTTGAGAAAATGTGTGCAACTTTTTAAACAAATGTTATGGAAGGGGTGACATGAATTGATGGGTGAGCTCAAGGAAGTGTGTGCAGATTGAGTCATGTGAAATCCATGAATAAGTAAGGATAGTGACTGAGTGGTGAGTATCTGCTTAGAAAAAAGCATGTTGCTTCAAATATAAGATTCAAGCATATGTTTCTTCATAAGTACACACAGAAAAGGAATGATTTGAAGAACATAATTGATTTGATTGGTTATGATGAAACACAAGAAAGTTAATGAATGATATAAAGGTGAAGAGATTCTGAATTACATGGTAGTGTTAAAAATAGTTGTAGGAGAGAAATTATACAAAAAAGAAAATGAAAAAGTAAAAATAGTTTGAATGCAGTTGAATGCAGATTAACAGTTAGATTAATCTTCCAACAATCAAAATAGAAAATGGACACAATAGATGTGAGAGCAGCTTGAAATAGATGATGAAAATGAAAACAGAAAACAAATATTTGTGGGAAAAAATAAATGGGATGCAAGGAAGGAGAAGCTTAGGCCGGATGGAATTAAAAAGAGAGGAAAAATATAAAAAAAACAAAACAAAACGCAATAGGTAAATCAACAAATGGGCATGGTGAAAGCAAAGATGCTTTGCAAGTATAGAAGGAACAAATGGGCTGCTTTGTGTCTTTGTGTGTGTGTGTGTGTATTTATAGTCTTATTTCTGAGTAAATGTGTCACAGATTATGATAACCATATATTGGAAAGTCCATATTGCTTAATTTATTGTGGAAATATCTAGAGACATACCAATTTATTTTTAATTTTTGAGAGATTTAGTAAAGATCCTATAGATTGCAACTTAGTAAATGGAAATGATGCTATATGTTAAGAGGAGGAAAAATGTTGGGTTTTGTTTGGATAGAGGTCTACCCAATACCCAGGAGACTGATAGGCCTATGCCCAAATAACTAAAATAAAAAAAAATTCTGATATCCTGGCTGATGGGACATATTAGGAAGGAAGGCAGAATATAATGTCCCTGAAACAAATCCTTTGTGAAGAGCAGTTAGTTTCCTGTTAGTAGTTGAAACTTTTTCCTGCTGGCTAGGAGAGGAAAAGAAAATGAAAATCCACTAGCTGCTGCTTTGAAACTATTACACATCACAACTGTAAGAGTAGCATTAGTCCCTGAGCTACTAAGGATGCACTCTACTACTTCCTGGCACACTAAAACTCAATAATGGAGATGGTACAGTTTGTGGCAATATTTCTGTTCTTGGTTAGTTCAAGGGATACACATAAAAAAAGGCAGAACTTCCACTAATCACTATTCTCTTGAGTTTCTTGACCATATCTTGGGAACATACCTGCTCCAATTCAAGAAAAATTAAACATAGCCATGAGAAAATACTCCAAGTTATTTTAAAGCTCTTCTCTCAGTTTTTCATTAAATGAAAAGTTATTCTCAATAGAAAGGGCTTGTAGCGCTTGCAGAGTAGGTATATCTCAAAATGCAAGATTTTGCATTAATTAATGTCTCTGATGGATTAACTTAGCTTTTATTTAAGTATCAGGTTGTGAAGCTTTCTTCTAAAAGGGGATTATTGGTTGTGGAACAATCTTGTCCTATATTTCACCTGGCACTTGAAAAGACAGCTCTCTGAATCCAGTTTTCATTTTTTCAGTTTTGAAGCTGCAGTCTTAATCCTAATGAATCTCTTACTTCTACTTTTATAGTTTTATGATTGTAGCTTTTTTGTCTGTATTTATTTATTATATTTGTAATATACAAAGCAAGTGGATATAAAACCCATGGCTCTTTGTAATGTAAATTAACTGAAATACATTTTTATGAAAGCTGGGTCAGAAATAGATGGTCATAGAATTCCAGAGTTGGGAGACAAACTTGCCATTCAATCCAAAGAAGTAGTGGGAGAGCAGGAAGAGAATCAGCTGATCCACAATAGGTTGGCTGGTAATGATGAAAAGTGCTCCAACATGTCAGGTTCAGAAGAAAAAGAACAAGGTTTGAAAATCAGGAACTTCAATCCAGCCCCATACTGCCTGCATGTCTGCCTTTTTAAATCTCTCCCAGGACATAAACTGAGTACTTTTGAACCTAAGAATTTGCAGGACTATGCTTCTCTATAAGGTTGGTGAGCTTGACCTTTGGTTTCTGACATACACCACATGCACTTGTCAGTGATGTTTAGTGATCCTCCTGCTGCCCACATAGGGTAGCAGAGAAAGGGTTGTTCTATCTTCCGGAGAAGCTAATTTTAATATTCCCAAAACCTTGAAGAAAAAGCAGATCCCTTCATCCAATATCAAAGTGACTTAACTGTTCAACTCCAAGTCATCCGGTACTGATTCTCTTCCTAGAAGAAAAATTATCCACACAGTGAGAAGAAGCCAAGGAACAAGGACTGCAGGCTACTGCAGAAATAAAAAGAGGATACCAAATGCAGAACTTGCAGTTAACATCTAAGTAGCCAATGCAAGTTGTTCTAAGCCGCCAGGAGGAGCTGTTAGCTTTATATTCTCAGCTACAATACTTTGTCTTAAAAAAAAAAAAAAAATCCAAGTTGACATTACTTAGTGATATGTCTGCTTGACTTTTCAAGCATATTAAGGCCAAAAAGGGGAGTGAATGTGCTCAGTGGGAATGGAAGGCTGATGTCTGGAGTGGGAAGAAAAAATTGAAAGCTGCAACTAATAGGAAAAGATAATGCAGAGGAAGAAGAAGAGGAAAAGAAGAAATGGAGTGGCTGGGACTAAAACAAGTATTTATTATATACCCTAGTACTGTATTACAACTTATTTGCCCAGATGCTGGGGGAGCCATGTTCTGGAAAGCATATGGAAGTTGGAAATGGAATATGGTTCTGCAGAGTCCATTGGTCTGATCCAACTGATGTTTACTTGTTCTCTTTTATATCTGCTGAATCTTCTGAGATTTATGTTTGTAAATCACTTTTTACTATGTGAAGACTTGGGGCACAGAAATATGCTAAATAGTTGCATTCTTCCATTTTGCAAAGCACTTATATTTTGTGGGAGGACAGTACCCCCCCGAGAAGGAAATATTTTGGGGAGTATTAAAAAGCAGAATATTATACTTCCCCAAAGGAATAATGAAAAATCTTAGGCAAAGACAGCCCAAGTCTGATGAGATTAGAAAGACAAAGACCCCTAAAATCTATATACCTCACCCAAATTCTAAATATACGATCTTTAGGACATAATAGGATTAGCCCACCACCCTCAAAATACCAAAAAGATATGCTCAAAAGCTTAGGTCAAAGTTCATGCCACAGGAACAGGAAGAACAACTCCAAACACAAAAGCTCAAGAAGGTATAAAAACCATCACTCCCAGCAACATAAATAATAATAATAATAATAATGACAAAAAAGTTTGGATAGTGGACGTGGCAGTGCCTGGAGACAGCAGAATAGACGAGAAAGAACTGGAGAAG